CTGCGCATCCGACGGCTAAGCCGATCACCCTCCCGCCGTGTCCAGTCTCTGGGCTCAGATCAGCGCCGTGGAGAGGCAGAGCTTCTCGCTCCGGGCGGGCCTGGCCAGGGAAGGGCAAACCCATCGCTGGTTGCAGAGGCGACCTGCGTGCCTCTCCCGGGAACCCCTCCGGGCGCGCCCGCCTTTGGGGAAGCCGAGGCAGGGGCAGGGCACCGGCCGGGACTGTCGCGGCCCCCGGAGCGCCCCTTCCGTCGGGTTGAGGAGCGAGAAGAGACGGCTCCGGCGGAGGCTTCCTCCTTCATAGGGGCAGCAACTCGGCCTCTTCCCAGGGGATCCTACTTCGTGGGGGACCGAGGCCTTCACGGGCCAGGAGGGCGCGCAGCGTTGCCGCCGCGGAATCAACCGCAAGTCTGCTTGGGGACAGTCCACTGAGAGACCCTGAGGTCTGGGAACTTGGGTAGCCCAGCGTGGCCTCCGGCTGCGAGCTAGCCAGGAGTAATTCACCCCTCCCCCCCCCTGCACAAAAAAGTTCAAACCCGGTAGCAGAGGACCCTCTATGGCGGCGGGGGGGGGGGATGCGTGCACGCCTTTGGGCATCAGTGGCTGGAAGGGGGGAGGATGCCAGGGGTGGAGGGAGCCGGGGCATGCGACCCTCCCCTCCCCCGTCAGCCTCTCAGCGCCACCCTCTTTTCTCTTTCTGCCTCCCCGGTTTACCGGCAAAGGGACCTAACTGGTCGCTTCCAGAAGGCTTTGGGAACTGGGCAGGGGCCGAGGGCCACAGGGGCCCCACATGTTAGGGGACCCATTGTTGCGAAGGCAGGTCTGTGCCTCCTAAAGGCTGCTGTGGGCCCCAGACAGGAGGCTCCCAAAGGCGAGACTCCGGAGGGAAAAAAGAGGAAGGACATGTGGGATTCATGGCCACAAGATGCACCCGTGGCTGCTAACGTGGACAGACTCAAGGAGGAGAGACCCAGAATGACTCCCTGTTGGGTAGATAAACAGATACGCCCCCCCCACACCCCCTTCAAGGCCAAGCTCTGAGAGAAGAGGACGGGCTTCCTGCGCCGCATGCAGGATCTCTCCCTCCCCCTTCCCCAGAGTGCAAAACCACGACTGGACGTGGTGCTGATCCAGCTCTGGGGATCATGTGTCCTGCCGTCCCCAGAGATCCCTCACGAGCAGCTTGGCCGGCTGCACAGACCACATCACCATGGTGGCTACCTGGGCAACCCAGTGGTGGGAGGGGGCGGAGAGACACTGGCCCAAGCGTGGAGCCAATGATGGAGGCAGTCTGTCTGTCTGTCGATCTGTCTGTCTGCCTGTCTGGATGGAGCGGAGCAAGGCCTTCTGGCTGGGGATCCCTTAGGCCAGCAGTCAAGGTCAGGATCCACCCATCTGGCCCCGACACTAGCCAATGATGGAGGCAGTCTGTCTGTCTGGATGGATGGAGCTGAGCAAGGCCTTCTGGCTGGGGATCCCCTAGGCCATCAGTCAAGGTCAGGATCCACCCATCTGGACCCATCACGGACTGAGCAATGGTGGCTGCACGCTCTTCAGAGGATGCCTCTGATTTCCCAAGGACTCTCCAGCAGGTCAAAGCCTAGGCGGCTGTTCCTATTTTTAAATGAGATGAGTTGCATGCAAGCCAAGAAGGTGTGGTAGACCCCGTTCGTTCCAAGCAGAGCCGCCGCTGGCCTTGCTCCCCCCACCTCAACTTTCCTGCCTGTGTCTTGTCCCCTAAAGCCAAGACCAAAAAGTGCATATCCACCCCCACCCCTCAAGCACCTCTGCTTGCTTTAAGGTCAGTTCCTCCCATTTCCCAAGCAGGGAAACGTGAAGTTCAAGAGCCATCTCAAGTGGTCTGCAATGTTTGTTCTTCCAGACGGAAGATGTGTTTTCAGGCTCTGGGCCAGGAGGGAGGCCCCAGACAGCCTGTCAGTTGTGCGCAGGGGGCCCCTTGTGTGCCAGCGGGGTTGGGCTCACCTGCGCACCGCCCGCAGAGGAGGCCCTTCCCAGCCCTGCTCCCTTGCGCAGTTGCCTCGTCCCTCGTCCCAAGCCCACAAGCCCAGTTGGAGGCTTCCTGAGATGCAAAGGGCCGGAGGGCCAAGCCAGAGGGGGACAGCTTTTGCCTTGGGGAGCACCAAGCAGGTCCCACTAGCCCGGCTGGCCAGCTGGCTGGTAAGCCTGGAGGCGGCTTTCCCCCCTCCCAGGCCTTCTGTGTCCGGCTGGCTTAGCTTAGCTATGGGGAGCTGCCAAAGATCTGTCCCCAACACGTTGCACCTCCAGCAGACACACAACGCATTCCTCAGAATCAGTAGCCAGCCAGGCCGGAGGATTCAGCAGGCAGGCAGGCAGGCAGGCAGGCAGGCAGAGGGTCAGGGTGGGGGTGCTGTTGAGGGGGGGGGCAGGCCACTGAATGCCTTTCCTTCCCTGGGACTGTTGCATAAAACCCTTCCAGGCAAGATTGTTATCCTGCTTTTCCCGTTTACCTTTGGTGCTCAGCTGTGAAGCCGGTCATGCGGGACCCAGCCGGGACCGCCTGGCCCCCTGGACTCCCT